GCGCGGCCCGCGAGTGATTCATAAAGCGGCGCTTGTTGGGGAGCGCGGGCGCTGAATGAGCGCTGGCAGCGGCGGCTCCGTGAATGCCTGGGATTGTAGCCGGGATCATGTGGCGAGCAGCGCCGCGCGGCCCGCTCCCCTCCGCCCGCCCGGCCCGCTCGAGCCAGCGGTAATTGGTACCGACAGAAAACGACTTTCCAGGCGGCCTGTTGCTTCTTGCTCCCTGGAAAAATCCAGCTGCCACCTCCTCCCTGTGCAGGCAGGAGGATGTGGGCGTTTCCTGAGCTACAGAATGGGCTTTTTTTTTTTTTTCTTTTTCCCTTCTTTAAAAAGCACAGGAAAATATAAAAATAGGTTTTGGCTTTTCTGTTGTTTTTCCCCTCGAAGCGCAGGGAGATTTGCGACATTGTTTCCAGCAGCGGCGGGGCCCCCGGGAGCCGCTTCCCTCCTCCGCCGAGCGCTGGCTGCCCAAGTGAATGTTTAACCGCAGGAACGGCTCCCGGCAGGGCTCTCCGGGCCCGTTTCCCTTCCCGCGCTGGCATGCCTGTGGTTTGGGGTTATCTCTTACAGCAGGAAGCTCCCACGGGCCGGGGGCTGCTTGGAGTTGAGCAGCCGCAGGTTTCCGCGTTCCCCTTGGATTGCTATCCTTAGGGTGCTTGGCAGGACCTCACTGTAATGCTCCTGTCCCGACGGAGGCAGCCACGTGCGGCTCCTTGGGCACCGCGCGAGCAGCGTCGCGGGCATTGGCTGCCGTGGATGCTGCCCGGGCTCCTTATGTAACCGCGGCCGCTTCCAGGGTGCGTGCGGCCCGTGCAGAACAGTAACTAAGGATGCGCCAGTTTCTTGCTCCCGATGCAGGCGCAGGGCTGTGCCTGCAGGGAGCTGGCAGACAGGGCGCTTGGCATGGGGTTTTCCCTTGGGAAAATGCTGCAGGTGGTAGTAAATCCCCATGGAGGACGCTGGTGCAGGGAGATGCAGGTTGGGAGGAGCGTGTCCGTGTCCCCTGCCCTGCCCAGTGCCTTGCTGGGCGCTCATGCCCAGCGCCGTCAGCTGCGGGCGAAGGTGGGGTTGGAGGTGACAGGACCGAAGCCTCCTGGTGCTTCAGTCCTGCAAGAGGAGGAGGGGGGACGCAGGGGATTGGGCTCCCTGCGAGACTGACTTTGCAGCCTGCCTCTCCAGCTGCAGGTTGTTATTCCTGTCCTCCTTCGTGGCCCTGGTGAGAGCACATGGATAGGGAGAGATGAGGCAACGGGCCCGCGTAGGGGAAGGAAAGGGCGTTGGGAGAAGGAACGCCCAAGTGAGAGGTAATGGAAAGTGTGTTGCTGCAGCCTTGCGTTCAGGTACGGAGCCCAGGGCGTGCACCCTGGGGCTGCTTTCTGCCACGCTGGTGCCAGACAGGAGCCCAGCAGGGCGG